TGTCCAGGGGATCATGGATTTCACAGGTGAGGGACAGACAGAAAGTGGTCAGGCACTGGGGATCCAGTACCCAGAGCACAAACCTGGGCATTTCCCTCAGGTGGTGGTGCTGAAGCACTTGGCCCCTGCTCAGAGAATCAGGGTGGAGATTTTGTTTTTGTGGAACAAATCCAGCCTGTGGATTGACATTTTCATCCTGGGGGCCATGCACAGAGGTACAAGCCAAAAGTAAACTAGGCAGCCAAACCTGCTGTTAAGGATGCACTGTGAGAACAGATGATTCCGTCTCAGCTTGGCTAGCTGTAGATGAAATTCTTTGAAAGTGGGACTGGAAGTTAAGGGGTTAACATTACACTCTTTATTGTTAAAATTATGCAAAATTTTCATTCAGCATGCCTTCCATTTCCCTGTTTGAAGTTGTATATGTGTTTCTTTTGGGGAGAGTGAGACAGTGATGTCCCATAATTGAACCAGCATTTTGCATCAGCACAACTGCTATTTTTTATGACACTCAGATTCAGTGAGGAGTGAGAGAATTTCCATTGAGATGCCTGCTCTATATGGCTAAGTTTTCCTTTTTCTTTCCTTTTCCTTTCCTTTTTCTTTCCTTTTTCTTTCCTCCCCTCTTCCCTTGCCCCTATCTTTCCCCCTTTCCTTCCCCTTTCTCTTCCCCTTCTGTTTATGTTCCTTTTCCATTTCTTCCCTTTGTTTTTTGTTCTTCTTTTCCTCCTTTTCATTTGTTTGTCTTGCATACAGCTTTCTGTTCTAAACAGAGTCCCATGGCATGTGTAAAGAGAAGACAAGAGGCAACACGCCTGTTCCCATGGGGTCAAATCTGCTCCTTTTCAAATCTAGGAGGAAATCACCCTTTCATTACAAGAGACACACTCCTGGGTCTCTGGAGTAAGATATCCTCTCCTGGCACTTCCCTAGTGGTGAGAGGTTCCAGCAGATCCTGTACCCCTTGGATACCCTTATCTCCAAAGGAACTTTCCTTAGAGATTTCTCACACCCTCCCCAGGGATGAAAAGGGTCCCCAGGATCCAGTATAGGAGCTAGGGCTTTTTCAACCACTTTCTCTAGGCAGAACTTCCACCTCTTGGCATCAGTCTCCAATGCTCTGAACCCCACCTATGCCCCTCTCTGCATTTGTTCATGAGGCTCCGTATTAATACACCTTCATCACAGTAAAACTACCAGAGTTTGGCCTCTGTGGAGCAGAACCAGGCCTAACGCTGGGGAGCGACAGGGCTGCAGGAGGGCGCAGAGTGCCTCTGGTTCTGGCCATGAGCTTCTTCCTCACAGCGGACTCAGTGCACAGCAAACGCCCCTCCTTTACACCATTTCCTTCAGGGAAGGGCCCGGAGACCGTCCCTAGGGGACACTGCCGCCTACCTGGGGGCGACAAAGGCAGAAATAGCTGGGTGTACCCGGCACCCGGCACGGGAGGGCGGGCAGCCTGCGGGGCGGCATCCCGGCAGGCAGCGCTGCTCCTCTCGGCCCCTTCTGGGCCTCCAGTTTGTTTTAATAAAGCAGGACACCAAAATACTAAATGCGGTGAAAGAATGTGTGTTCGCCTCTGGCATTCCTGCGGTTTTCTCCTGATAATGCCACATCCCCCATCCCGGCTCTTACTAGGAGCACCCCCTGAAACTCCTCAATGTTTCTGTAAGAGATGCTTCGGCGCTCCAGGTCTCAGGCGACGCCGTCACCCGCGGCGGGGAAATAGCTAAAATGCACAGCACGGAGGGCTGCTAGCTCAGTTCTCGTTAAATCAAATCTTTAGGAAAAAAAAAAAAAAAAAGTCTAGTCACGAGAAGCACTGAAATACTGTCGATTTTCATTTACCTGTGCCTTCCTCCGAATTAAATTCACTCCATAAATACACTTATGTTTTCAAATCAGGGAGTTTGCCACGCAGATCATGTTTCTACTGCTCATCCTATCAGTAAAAGACTGCCGCAGTTTTATGGCTCTCGACGAGTCTGGGAGAGATAGGAATTGAAATCGAAAGCCCAAATTCCTCACGATTTACTCACTGTCATCAGTAAAGCAGCAGATTTAGTTTCCATTGTCAAACTTGTCCTGAATGTCCTATGAGAGGGAATCGTGCACTTTCCACCCCCTCCCCATTCCCTCTTCCCCTAGGTTTTGGTCTAACAAAGTAAATATCTCCAGAACCTCATGCGGTGACAGCGAGGCGATGCTTCAGACAGCCAACAGTTAAAAACAAAACCCCAAAAGAATCCATCCAGAACAGAGAGATGCCCTCCGCAGAGGTGCCGGGATCCGGCATTCAGAGGTACAGGGAGGCAGAAATGTGTCCTGGATCGGATCCTGTAAATACCACTACATGCTTTCCTGGGCACATCCCACTCACGGCTCTGTCCTCTCTCTCCTCAACGCCACTTACGTGTTGCGTGCTGTCATTGTACCAGCTTGTCTTTACACACAAGAATAATGCGCCTATTATTCTCTTCTCTCCAAAGCTTCCACCTCTAATCATGTCGTAAAAAATAGCCTTAATAAAACAGTGATAATTACGCCATTATTGTTAACACTACCCATTAAAAATTTAAAAATAGGTTTTCTGGTTTGGTCACCCATTTGAAGCTGGTATCACTTTTTGCGGCACTAAATCGTTCACCGGTAGGTCAAAACTTTCTTCCTTTTTTAAAGACGACAAGATTTCTGGGGTTTTTTAGAGAAAATGATAGTGGGTTCCCAGTCCTAACTGGGCAGTATCGGTCAAAAGTTATTGACACCCTGTTGACCAGCTAAGAAAAATAAATACCCCCCAGGGAAGGAGGGTGTGATGCGCCTTTTCTTCTGCAGGCTTAGCACTTTCAAGGAAAATGCCTGATTTATGAGCATATCACTCTGGCAATGTTTTAATGTCCCCCTATTACTTCCTCATTTTGGGAAGGGAGTGTGTGCGTTTCGTTTGTTTTTCGTATGCGGGGCTACATTTCAGACAGCAATAAAGCGGGATTCGGTGTCCTGATCCCGTCTTGGCCATATACCAGCAAGGAGAGCTGCAAATTCGGAGAAATAAATAAGTTAGAAAAGTTTTGAGCATGCTTATGGCATCCTGGATGTGACCTAGCGAGAGAGAGAGGGTAGGTATTAAATCTCGGTCTGGAACGTGGAGGAAAAAAACCCCACCCACACCATAGGGATACACTTTCCAATCTGCCTGGAAATTAATCCCAAATGAAGGAATCTCCTTCCAAATCAAGCATGACAGATCTGAGAGAAACACTAGACAGAAGGCAGTGCGCCGGACCCCGCATTCCCGGTGAGGCGGCAGGGAG